CTGAGGTTACATTCAGCCACTAGCGGATCCAGGATTTAATTTTGGGGGGCTTCAGCCCGTAAGATTTTTTTTTTTAAATCTTCATAAAAATAATTTGAAAAAAAAATAAATAAATTAACTACCTATATGAAATGGTGTTTAAGTGGTTCCTGAAGTCCTATTAAATGTAATTAAACGAACAAGAATACTTTAAGAGATAGTTTTTAATATTTGTTTGTGTAAAATATGGTTATATTTTACCATTTTGGGGGGGCTTCGCCCGAATGCTCCCCCGTAGATCCGTCTGTGCATTCAGCGGTTCTATCGAACCCAAAAGTCAACGCTGAGCTAACCGTAATATATTCGATGAATACAGGAACGTGCTGAATTCAATGGATCCATTAATGTTTTTAGGAACGCCTTGATTCGGTGCCCATTGATGATTAGAGCGCTGAGTTTAAGAATTTACCTATGTCGAATTAAACTTCTTGTTAAATAGTAAAGGAAATTGAAGTATAAGAATATTTTAAATTGGTATTGTTTTTAGCTGCTTCCAACAAAAACTAAGTTTCCTGGCTAGTACATTTCATCGTATGTACACCGGTGTATGTCAGCATCCGAAAATGTTTTGAGTTTCTTTCGGGAATGAAAGGTACCAGACAACTACAAGTCTAAATATTCATGGACGTTAATTCCACTAACCATCCAACAATTTGTTTTTGTAGGCATACAAATAGATTTTCATAGGATGGGCAGTGTTATTTCTGTGCATGAGTTTTTTATATGTTATAAATATTTCGTTATATTTTTTTCATATGCTATATTATTTTCACATGATATGTAACTATTTAAGATGTAAAGATGTAACTATTTATTATAAAATCGTGCATACAGTCTCTTTCAATTTGACTGTAAATATAGCACACAAAATATAATTAGTTTTGGCTGATGGGTTTAAGTATTTATCTATTTATTTTGGGTTTAGTATTTCGTTTTAAGCTATTTATTAATTGCCACACTACTTATTATTAGCATTCTTTGTTTATTACTTACTTTATTAATTCAAAATATTACAGCTGTTTTATTTATATAACTACATTTTTTATTGTATCCTCCTGCCCCACCATTTGTGGGATACGACGTCCAAACCTTTTCTAGTTATAGGTCGATTCATCCCATGAATTTTCCTCTAAATAAATGTCAATAGGCCCAGGCCGGATTCGAATCCATACCGTTTGATCTCAGACGTATAGTTTCATCAAAGGCCTTTACAAAATTTGTCAACGGGATCCGAAGACTATTCTCTCCAATACTACGATAAGAATTAGGGTGGTTCCTGGTAACGGATAAAGGATTTAATTTTGAGGAGGCTTCAACCCGAAAACTTTATATATATATATATATATATATATATATATATATACATCGATAATTATTTTGGAAGAAAAAGAAAGAAACTAACTACCTATAAGAAATGGTGTTTAAGCTTTTCTTTAAGTCCTGTTAAATGCAATTACACGAACAATAATACTTTGAAAGGTAATATTGTTCATAAGACTTGGTTATATTTTACCATTTTGGAGGAGCTTCAGCCCGAAAGCCCCTTCTCCACCTTCCAATAAATCCGCTTGTGGTCCCCCCCTCCTCCTTCCAAAAATAATATTTCTTAGGCACATTCCTTCACCAAATAATCAACAACCATCGTTCTCTCTATTCCTATAATCTCCTCTAATTCACGTCATCTATCCACTCCCTCACCACAAGATCAAGACCTTCTGACCTTTATAGCGATCTTCGAAGATCTGAATCATTTCAACACTCCTTCATTGCCCGCTTCTCCACTTCCAGACCTCCACCTCTCTCTTAAAATCCGACGTTATCCCTTCTTCACAATGATGTCAGACTCTGGCTAATCAAGTAATATATAACAAGGATGTGTTGTCGATACTTGTATTTTTTTTATGAATATCAACAAATAGTTCATATAATTGAGCAAAATACAGTAGTGAGAAGAATAGTAGTATTTTGGTAGTATAGTATAGTGGTAGGAATAGTAGTATAGTTACTAGTTACTAGGCCTTCTACTATACTGGTTACTAGTATTTCCTGGCATCCTTCCTCTTTCAAGTCATCCAATCTCACCGTCCCTCATACATCTCCGAGCTCCTTCAATTCAAATCCTCTGTTCGTTCCCACAATACTCGTTCCCGGTCTTCTGATTTATATACAAGGGCTCACCGAACCGCTCCTTTCGACAGATCGTTCATTATCCGATCCTCATCCCTATAGAACTCCATCCCTCCCGACATCCGTCAATCCAAAACCATTCCTACCTTTAAAATCCCGCCTGTTTAATCATTTCTTATCCATCCAGTCCTCATAAAATTGTAAATAGTTACTACTGTAAATATGTATATAAATTATTAGATCGTTCTTCATTTTTTTAATCCATGTTTATTTTCATTTTTTTTATTTTTATTATTAACTGCTTTAAATTAGAAAGTAACTTATAATTTTTTTTATTACTTTTTTATGTATTTTTTTTTACTATTTAATTAAACTATATCGTTGTTTATGTATCTCTGAGGCTCCTTAGCCCACGTTTTCGTGTTTCTGTATTATTCCAAAGAGACTCGTCCCTGAATAAATAAAGCATTATTATTATTATTATTATAGTTAGGATATCAGTTGTATAAATAGTGTAAAGAATGAGAACTAAGATGTAACCTCGAGAGACACCAGCGGATAACAGAAAAAAATGCTAAATTATAATTTACTTTAAACGTTCCATCTCTGAAGTGAGAATGGATCAATATAGAAAATATATTAGAAGGAGAATCTTATTAATCTATAAACATTTGTCTTATTAATTTAAAACTAAACAAATAAAGTTTCTTTGAAATTGGGAAAAATACTGGTTGTGCACTTCGTCTAACAGTAGCGAAAATACAACATGAAGAACAATTGCGATTGGGAAAAAAATGTTAAAACAACTAATCTGAAAAGTTAGCAGTTTTAAAGGCTATTGATTATATCTTACAATCTATAAATTATACCTCTTCTAAACTAATCAAAATTTACACTGGCAACAAAATTCTAATTAACAGCAAAAAAATCCCAAATATCACGACTTACTGACTGAAACAATTAGGCAAAATATTTTCAATCTTCATGATCTGGACGTAAAACTTGAATGGGTTAAAGGACATGGCAGGATCGCTGGAAACGAAGTTACGGATAGTTTGGCAAAGTCTACTTCTTGAAACAGTCTCCTGCCTATAACCTATGATAAAACTCCTCTATCCCATATTTTTCTTCTTCTTCTGCGTTCTTCTTTATATGACTAGGTCAGAAACTAAATTGAAGAATTACGTAGTCCTCTTCAAGTCTTCCAGGCTTCCATATAGTTTCCTTTCCAATTCAGTCGGAGAGGGCCAGATCACCTTCCTTTGTTAGGAGTTGGCCATGCACGTTTGTAGGATATGTTCTACATTCTGTACACCCTCACCGCACTCCCAGAGAGGACTAGAGCCAATTTTGAACTTACTGAATAGATGAGCTTTGAGCCTGTTGTGTCCAGTTCGTAAGCGAAAGATCAACACCTGATCTCGTCGAGTTAGTCCATAGATCTCTGGGGTCGTGAAGTGGATGATTTCTGAGCCAACGTTGGTTAATAATCGCTTTATTGATTGTTTTTACCTCGTCTGGGCTGATCTTACAATCAAATTGTGGACTCAAGGCCCCTTCGTTTGCCAGCTGGTCTGCCCTTTCACTGGCTATTCCGTATTTAAAAAATCATTTTGGCTGACATTATAAATAATTGGAACAGACAATGGCAACAGGCAACCAAAGGACGACTGCTTTATAAATGTGTTTCAAAAGTAACACTTACCAACTATGATAAAATAAAAAGTACACTCTACAAACTGACACAGTTTTTAACAGAGCATAGACAATGCAAATCTGACATGAAACGTTTTCATTTGACGAATATTGATTCATGTTAAAAGAAATATAATTCTATAATGAGATAATTGGCCGCTGAAGGAAGAGGACATCTTCAAGAATTACAATAACGAGATGCGAAAATTTACTATTGAAGTTGATCAGAAACTCCTCGAAGAAGTTTAACTGATTATTATAAAATCTGATTTTATTATAGTTGCCCTTTTGTTTATGTTAATCTCTTTGTTTTGTTTTCTCTACACCTATTTTTGTTTTTTATTATTAATTTTTTCCACTTTTGTTCAATTAGGAAAATTATTTTTTTATTTTTTTTTTTATTTTTTTTATTTTTTTATTTATTTATTTTTTTAATTTTTTTTTTTTTTGTCCTCCCCTTCCTCGCCTTTAAGGCTATACGGGGGTTTTCCCGGGCCAGGGAGTGTGGGCGGGGATTTAAAAACTCCTCCCGACACAGGGACGCGAACTCGTGACTATTTTTTTTTATCAAACTCTTTATGTATCAGGTTGCCGGGCAACGGCGGTGCAGTGCACACGCGTTAGCCCATTCGAGCTTTGGGACTCTACTAAACCATCAAATTCCTCTCGTATCTAATCCCTACAATCCAAAATTCTTCGTAAAATCCTTAATGCTCCCTACTTTGTCACAAATAAAATCATCCATAATGACCTTAATGTACCATATGTTTCCGATTTGGCTCAATCCAGATACCTCTCCTTTCATAATAAACTTCTGAACCATCCGAACCTTGCTTCCTCTTCTATTCCTGATGACCCTCCGAGGCGTCTGAAAAGAAGATGGCCTCGGGACCTTCTAATATAGAAATATAATTGGAGTGCTACCAATGGGTAGTTTCTCTTCATGTTGTACATGTCATATTACTTGTTCATATTTACTTGTTGTATTTATTATTAATTACATTGTAAATTTCGTTAATAAAAAAAAATAAATTAAAAAAAAATAACAAATATACAACTCTTATACGGGATTACTGTAGGAGGGAGGCAGATTAAAAAAAATAAATAAAATTTCTTAACCAATCTAATTCTTTTTCCAGGTGAACTGATCCTTGTCGAAGAAGATGGTCTGGCCGACTCCGACGTCAGTTCGATATCGCCGACCAGCTCATGCATATCTCAGACTGACAGTCTTGTCCAGGCCTTCAACAGGTATTATTACTTGTATATTACTATAAAGTATTAAATTTATATATTCTATTACCATTACATAAAATTTCAATTATCAGCAATAAACGTTCTCGCAGCCAATTATGCGTACTGACTCCGAGGATGTCTCCGGTGGGATGCAGTTCGGAGTGCAGCGTCGAACTTGGGAAGGAAACGGACAACCTGGTGGAGGAGATATATATCGCCAAGCATTCCATAGCCAAGGGTAACTAATATTTTAATTTAATATACCATATTGATATTGATATCGACGTTTGCCATTTTTGATCCTTGAATTCATACTGCAACTTCAAAAAAAAAAAAACATTGGAAAACATCGATTTCAAAACTCAGGCAATACTTAGTCGACGGATCGAGAAATGACAAATTATGTTCAAAAGATTTCGACGCAAACATCAAGATCTGGTAAAGTTTCAAATCACTAAAATTTTAGACGCATTGTTCATGCTTAATATTAACGTTAATCGCCTAGATATTCCAAGATCTTATTTTGTGACTTATTTAAGAAAACTTTTTAAATTTTTAGCCATACACCGCTATAATGTTTTTCTTCAGCATTTACACTAATCTGCCAAATCAAATCGAAAGTATTACAAAATGGCACCCATTTCAATCAGTGAATCAAATGGAGGGGACGCCGCTCCAATAGACAAAATTCAAAATCCATTGTTTTTCGCCCTGTTTTGAACTTTTGTAAATATCAATAAAACAGCTATTCTTAAGTAACATAAACAAATTCGTAGTGCGTTTTATCAGATATTTATGTTGAATAGTGCCAGAGAAACAACTTTTTAAAAACAATAAAAATGGCCATTTCAGCAAATATCATGAAAACTATTATAACTAGTAGTAGTTTATAATAACAAAATAGTTCCTAGTCGTTCACTTTCGGTCGAAGAGAACTAAATTTTTTTTCACATTCGAGCACGTCAGTTTTGAAAATACTTACAAATTGCTATTCTTAGCATTTGACTAAATAATATGGTATATAAAACAAAATGATCGTTTTATCAAATTCAAGATTTCAGAGGATTGTAAATATTTTAATCATATTTAATACTTAAAAATAATTAATAATCTCTATATAGAACTCTCTTAACTTGTTTAATCCGATTCGATTTCTTCAAAAAAAGCCTCAGTTTAGTTATTTCTTTCAAAGAAAAAATATGACAGTGTTCTACGAAATTCTCGTAATTTTAAGGCATTACGGGAAAAAAATTTCCTGCCGCTGAAGCAACTCGTGAAATTATTAAATATAATTATAATCGTTAAATAAGTCAAGAAAAGGTGTCCTTGACCAGCGCACTGCGCAGCATTGGATTGAAAAAATTAGCAGTAAAGATACGACGTTGGAAAGAAAGAAGGGCTCCGGGCGACCATTAATGGATATTGATGAGGTTCTGCAGGAAGCTGTTGAGTCAAATCTGTCCACGAGTACTCACAGACTTGCCAAGGAATGTGTTGTGTCACAGGCGGATCTACGTGGGGAGGGGGAAGAGGAGGGGGCTTTCGGGCTTTCCACAAAGTGGTAAAATATAACAATGTTTTACAGAAAAAAAATATTAAAAACTATCAATTAAAATATTCGTGTGTGCTTCATTATATTTAATAGGACTTCAAGAACCACTTAATCAACATTTCATATAGGTAGTTAATTTTTTTCTTCTTTTTCAAATTAATTATCGTTATATGTATATGAAAAAAAAAATCTTTCGGGCTGAAGCCCCTCCCCCAAAAAATTAAATCCTGGATCCGCTAGTGTGTTGTGTCGAAAGATTCTGTTAGTCACCATCTACTCTCCATGGGGAAGGTAAAAAGAGCAGTATACTGGTCTCTCACGAGTTTACAGCAATCAGCTGAGATGTTAGAAATTTGTGAAAATTTATTGAAAAAACCCTTCTGATATGAGACTCCTGCCTCACCCACCATATAGTCCAGACCTCTCACCATCGGATCACTTCTTATTTAGATCCATGGTCTATTTTCTTCAAGGGAAAAAAATTAAATATTTTGCGAAAGTTAAAATTGCGGTCCAAGAGTTCTTTGACAGCCATTCCAAAGAATGGTATCAGCCTAGGATCGAACAATAGGCTAGCAGATGAGTAATGATTGAGTATTAATTGTAGTTTATATCAAAGTATTGTATTTTATTTATTATACAAATATTTGGTTGAAAAACGATCATTTTATTTATTTATTTTTGTTTTATAAACTGTTATTATAAATTTTTTTTAGAAAATTTTATTTTTAAGTTTTTCCAAAAGAGTTAAATAGATTCGATCACGTTTCAAGTACAGTCAACTAGATTCAAACATCTTGTTATGCTAAATATTTTGGGAAAGGAAGAAACAGTCGTTTACCGATAGATTGATTGAAACTTTAAATATTATCACGTTTTAGCCCATCCGATTATGTCAATTACCGGTAAAAATATATAAAGTTTTTTTTTTATTATTTATTTATATGATATTTACAACTGTATACAAAAAATACATCTGGTAAATTCGCACATTGGTATAAAGACATGGAACACATGTTGAGAAACTACCCATTGGTAGCACTCTAATAATATGTCTATATTAGAAGATCACGTGGCCATCTTCTTTTCAGACGCCTCGGAGGGTTATCAGGAATCGAATAGGAAGCAAGGTTAGAGACAAGAGGGTTGGGATGGTTATGAAGTTTATTATGGAAGGACAGATATCTGGATTGGGCCAAATCTGATACATAAGGAACATTAAGGTCATTATGGATAATTAATTGTAACAAAGTAAGGAGCATTGAGGATTTTACGAAGGATTTTGGATTGTAAGGATTGTATGCGAGAGGAATTTGAAGGTTTGGTGGAGCCCCATAGTTCAACTCCGTAAGTCCAAATAGGCCTTATTATAGTCATGTAAATCAGTCTTTTATGATTGATTGGAAGGTTAGAGCGTTTGTACTAGTAAGTGTTGAAGTAGTCGGAAACGTCGAGCTGTTTCTTGTCGTTTCAGTCTGGTATGAGGATTCCAAGTTAGACGTTTGTCCAGTAATATATAAAGTAAACTCGATTTGGGCGAGACTATCGGTATCATTACGTTCGTCCGTTAAATAAATGCGTCATTGTCTCCTAGTCTATTACTTATAAAATGAAATATATATTTTATAGGAAAATACTGCGGTCATGAAAATTTTCGAATCCGAGTTTTCAACAGAAATGCGTGTTTCAAGGTTCCTTGATTCAATAATCAGATCTCGCATCGTGTAATAAGTAATTATTAATATTTATTTTATACTGTCAGGAAGTTTATATACACATAATCTTTTATAACAAAATCTCAAACCATTTTCAGAAAATTTCCCCTTTGTTGCATTTACTACATCTACCTCGCGTGTTTAAGTACGGTCCTATCTATGCAAAATGGATGAATATATTTACCAGGAAAGGAGTAGAGCGTGATCCACTACCCTCCAAGTAACAGGTTATGCAATTTCCTTTTATGTAAACTTGAAAACGATCAGCTGACTGGTGCGATCTAGTGATTTTAAAAACCTGAAAGAAAAAGAAGTCAAAGATAGAAATTGTATAATAAATCAAGATAGCACAACTCACAGTACGTTGAGATGAGAACCATATCTTAAGTTAACGTATCTAACCCATAATACAGATCTATATGTACGACTTTCATTCACTATTTAATATTACATTGAACAAACACCATCAAATTCACCTTTATCCTTCGTCGTAAACTTATGATTTCCAGTCCTATAGTATCCTTCAATAATTCTCCAGTTATCTCTGTTGAACAGATCCATTACCTACGATTCCATCAGGACAAACGCCTTACTAAGAATTCTCATTCAAGCCTAAAACGACTAGAAACTGCTAGACGCTTCATCACTTACTAAACAAACGTTCCCAAGTTCCAATAAACTATAAAAGACCCATTTACTCGACTATAATAAGATTTATTTGAACTAATAGAGTTGAGCTTTGGGCTCTACTACATCATTAAATTCCTCCCATATTCAATCCAAAATCCTCAATGCTCTCTGTTCACAAATAAAATTACCCATAATAACCTCAATGTTCCATGCCTTACTTTAGACTTAGCCCAATCCAGGTAAGTTTATTATGGAAGCATAGATATATGGCTACCCTTCCATTATAAACTTCAGTCCCATCCAAATCTTCTTGTTTCTAACATTACATCCTCTTGGATTTTTGAAAATCCTATAAGGCATCTGCACCTTCTTATACAGAACTAAAATTGGAATGTTACCAATGGGTAGTTTCTTATCAAGTCTTACATGTCACATTACCTATTCAAATTTACTAGTTGTATTTTTTGCTGATGTGGTTGTAAATTTAAATAAATATATATTTTTTTAAAAGGATTACAGTGATTTTTACATTTCTATAATGCTATACACTAGCGGATCCAGGATTTAATTTTGGGGCTGGGGCTTCAGCCCAAAACCTTTTTTTTTCATAAAAATAACGATAATTACTTTGGAAAAACAGAAAGAAACTAAGTACCTATATGAAATGGTGTTTAAGTTATTCCTTAAGTACTTTTAAATGTAATTACACCAACAATAATACTTTAAGAGGTATTTTTTTCCCATAAAACATGGTTATATTTTTTCATTTTGGAGGGGGCTTATCTCCCCCTCCCCCCAAGATCAATGGTGCATGGACTCCTTCCTCACCCCCTCCCTCAAGAAAATGTATTACTCTCTTAAAAAAACTGCAAGCGAATATAGATTTAGAAAAACTGTAATTCTAACACTAAAACTGTAATTATGTCTATTCCATCCATTCCCATTGTTCCCCTTTCAAATTTCCTCCAAAATTACACTCCAAAAAAAATAGTTTCCTCCAAAAATTGATAATCCTCCTAAAAATTATATATCCTTCTGGGGAGGGAGGAGTGAAGTTCTATCTTCTGAATTAAGACCAACACAAAAGTCTAGAAAATCGTCATGGAAAAGGACCATTACCTTACAACAAATGAAGTAATTCTGATCTTATAATATGATCGCTAATGACGACCCAAAGTTTTTGATCTCAATAGACTTCCGGACCATTTTGAAAACCACAACATTTTTAAAGTTATGTTAGTTTTCTTCAATTTTGACTCTAAAGCAATAATTATAACTAAATACAGATAAGATTACGTAACAAACTTAACAGTAAAAATAAAAATATTACAAGTTGCTTAAAGAGAAAGAGGCATATAAGTTTCTTAAAAAACAACATTAAGGTTTTTTTGTAGAGTTAGGATTCTTTTGAAGTGATTCCTCATTTCAATGACAAATACTCGAGCATATCTATTAATTCTTAAATGCTAAATGCTAATTAATACTATATTTATGGAAGGCCTAAACTAGAAGTATGAATTTAAAAAATTTACAAATACAGGAAATCAAATATTTTGATTTTTATATCTAAATATATTATTATGAAAATTATTTTGTACATACAAACGTCACATTTCATAAATAAAGGCTATTTTATTTCATATCATGTCTAAAAATATATTTAAATTTCCAGGTATTATCTACCAGAACAATATTGAAGCTTATGCCTCCAAAATCCCTCCAAATGTACCAGTGGTGGAACTCCAAGAAGCGCTTAATAAAAGTGAAAATGAAATTAAAAATAATTTTGTTGAAAAAGTCATCGTTAATGTTGAACAAGATAGGAAAACCAATAGGAGTGAAGACTTTGACGTAGTAGTTGCCATAGATATTGGTACTACATACAGTGGATATGCATTCGCCTACACAAAAAGCCCTTCGGACAAACAAATACACATGATGCGACAAACGGAAGGTAAATCATATTGTTTTAAAGAAATTTAATAATTATAAATATAGATATTGATTTAATAATTTCATTCACGGTTGTTAAATAGGGAGTGACAGAGGTTTAAACAATCAAAAAGTACCAACAGTCCTACTACTAAGCCCAGAAGAAAAATTCCACAGTTTTGGGTACGCAGCAAGAGACTTCTACCACGACCTTGATCCTAGTGATGCTAAGCAGTGGCTCTACTTTGATAAATTCAAAATGAACCTTCATAACAATATGGTATTTTTAAAAATGTAATATAAGTTTAGTTTAAAATACAATGTAGTATTATTAACACATTATTTACAGGATGTTAATAGAGAAAGCCAGGTAATGGCACAAAACGGACACAGTATAAGCGCTCTCACAGTATTCGCTCACACGCTGAGGTATATGAAGTGGCAAGTTGAGAAAGAATTAAGAGATCAAGGAAGGCTACCAAAGGTGAGGTGGGTGGTGACCGTACCAGCTCTTTGGACACAACAGGCTAAGCAGTTTATCAGAGAAGCTGCTTATATGGTTAGTAAGTAAACATTGTTGTTAATCTTTTATGATTTCAGTTCCATTAATTTTTTTTTCAATAAACATTTTTACCTAGAGTCGAGTTACAGTTATTAATTGTTAAGAAGTAACTGGAAAAACCAAACCAGCCTTATGTCCCAAAAATACAGGTAAAAACAAACCAACCCATCAACCATTCGTCAATTCAGGCATCAGAAAAGGAAAAACAAAATCATATCAATCCATGATATTCAATCACACACTGAAAGCTTTCATCAAACCTCAAGAATAAAGAATGTATATTTGGGATGTAAGAAGATTTGGAAAAACGATAAAATTAAAAGAAAAGGAATTCCAGAAGACATATTGGAGTGGGCAAGAATGGAATTTTCAAAGGTTTTAGTTCTTAGGGAAGAGATATAGATGTAGAAACATGGGTACTTGTTTCCTACAAGTAGACCAAAGTTTTTAATTGGAGGAGAACACAGATATGTGAAGGATGCTGGAAATTAATAGTTTGATACAGAAATGATTCAAGGAAATATTATTTACAGAAAGGAAAAAGGTGGAACACACGAGACCGCTTTGAGTTACCGAAGGCAAATTCTAGAGAGCAGTTTATGATTTACTTCAATCAGCCCTCTATCAAACTAGAAAAGGCACAGTATACCGCGCAGCGATAGACAAATTGGTGAATAATAATGTGAGAATTCAAAGAACTTGTGAGCATGTTGCAGAAAAATATAATATAAATATAATGATGGAATAACTCAAGTATGTCTATTGACCATCAGGAAATATGGGCAATATGGTTTGCTGTATCCAGAACAAGTTTTTATTAAGCTTTTAACGTCAATATACAATTTAATGGTCTTTAGTACCTTTAATAGATTTTTATGTTCAAATTCAAATAAGCTAGTCTCACAAAACTGTTTGCTTGTTTGGAAACAAATAAACTCAAAAATGAAAATACGTACAAAACTGAAAGTAGAAATATCCTTAGAATTTACAGCATTTTTTGTGTTGAAATACTTACCAGAAGTACCAGCTTAATATAACGTGTTATTTTAAATGTGTTTATAATTCATAATGATGTAGAGATGGTTGACCGTTGATATGATATGAGAAGGAGTTGGTCGAGGGTGCGGTCAAATAAATAAAAAAATTAAAATATATAAATAATTTTAATTTTTGCCGACGTTTCGACCCACTTTGCAGGTCGTCTTCAGGGCGTAGGATGTGGCACTGCGGGAGGCAGTTGAAAATTGGCCAGTGTTTCAACTGCCTCCCGCAGTGCCACATCCTACGCCCTGAAGACGACCTGCAAAGTGGGTCGAAACGTCGGCAAAAATTAAAATTATTTATGTATTTTAATTTTTTTATTTATTTGACCGCACCCTCGACCAACTCCTTCTCGTGTTTATAATTCATTTAAAAACCACTTAAACGATTTTGATTTTATACATATCAATGTAAAATTAAATGTTTCTTTAATACTATGCAGATATTAACCTTCCTGAAATGGTATGTCATGTCTTTAATACCAAATTTTCAAAATTTCTTTTGTTAAAGTACTTTTAGCTTCGTTTATTTGAAATAATGAACCATCATTCACTGTTAGTAGTTGTAAAATTTGGATAAATATAAACTATGGAAGAATTTCATAACTAACTAATATTTTACCAGGTTGAAAAAAAAATTTCAGAAATATTAGTGTTATAGATGTTCAATAAAGCAGAGGAAGGTAATGGGAAGTAAGAAAATAAAAAGCATATATATTGGTAAGAAAAACGTTAGTTATTAATTATCTTAAATAAATACAATTTTTAATTTTATTTCCTTATATGCAGAAATATATATAGAAGTTTATATCATTATGAATAATCAAGATATTGTTTTGAAATGATAAAAATTAATTTCTACTTAAAAGAGGGTATTAAGTGATATAGTGTGGTGTGTACACTACAGATTTTTATTTTTGTCATAATATTAAAATTCATAATAAATTGTATGTAAAATTTATTTATATTTTTGTGGTTCCATCTCTATTTACTTTCTTTCTACATTGTGTTCGTTTACATTTTAAATTAGAGGCTTTTGATATCTAAACTACTATAGTTTTTTATAATTTTTATATTAATAATTGATAGATATATTAAATAAATATTCCAGGCTGATATTTGCTCACCTGAGACTGCAGATCATTTACTCATAGCTTTAGAACCAGAAGCTGCATCTGTATGCTGTAGAAATTTACATTTCGACCAGATAATTCAATTTAACACAAACCGCTTAAGATCAGGTATTTAAACTTAATATTTTAAACCTTTAGGTTAGAATAAATAACAAGGAACGCTAACAAAATTGATTCTCAGGAAGTTACATGGTGGTTGACTGTGGAGGAGGGACGGTAGACATAACCGTACACACGGTATCAGCACAAACAGGAACCTTACGGGAGCTACACAAAGCAACTGGAGGACCTTGTGGTTCAATTGGTAAGTTTTCAGCAAAACTTCCATTTGAAAAAAATACATAAAATATCACTATAACAATATCAAAATATCAATATAACAGATTTTTGCATCGTATCATACTTCATCTCTTTCATATCCCTTAGCAAGATTTTGTGAATTTTTCTTTTAACAATGTGTTGCATTTACCGAGACTTTGAAGAAATGAGCAGACTAAGCACTCTTAATATAGAGCATTCTGATAGCAAAGTCTTTAAAAAATCTTAGATCTGACACAAATCTACTATTCGTGGGAAACTTTTGCATGGGTCGACTAGTGCAATCCTTAATAATTTTTTATTATTTTTGCTTTATTTTTTCCTTCCAGGAGTTGATAAAGAATTCAATGATCTCCTAGACACTATTTTTGGAACCAGTTTCATGCGAAGATTTCAACAAGAAAGGCCAGCGGCATATAATGAACTAATGCTAAGCTTCGAAGCGAGAAAAAGGAGTACCACTTCTTTCAGGTCTACACCGCTCAACATATTTCCACCGTTTGCTTTCATTGACTTTTTCAGGAAAGTTTCAGGGATAGAAGTATGTGCCAGTTTGTATTAATGTTAGATAATAATTGTGAATTTAATAATTTTAATAATTTATTCTCATAAGGTTGAAGCAGCAGTCAAAGAATATGGCAGACCAGAACTCACATGGTCGAATGAAGGCATATTGAAAATACATCCTTCTCTAATGTATCAACTTTTTCAACCAACTCTTAACAAAATTATAGAGGTAATGGAAATAAATAATATCGATATATAAATATTTAATTATTGAACAAAACACACACATTATACTATACAAATATCAGTACAATTCTTATACATTGGCATTCTAAAGTTTATAAATACTTATAAAAAAATAATCATCTGAAATAAAAAAATATAAATATCTTTGAATATATATATCATAAACTCTAAAATATATTACAATTTTCAGCATGTGGAAGCAGTATTGTCCACTAGAAGGCTAGATGATACAATAAGTCACCTATTTTTAGTTGGCGGTTTTTCAGAATCACAGATATTACAAGAAGCAATAAGGGAGAATTTCAGTAATAGAGTACATATTATAATACCACAGGTAACAATTAAGCAATGCAATAATTGAAGGAATTATAAGTCATAAAATATAATTCATTATATAATCTTGGAATAAATTTGTAATAATAAATTATTCTAATAAAGTACATTTTAACACCACAGGCGGTTAGTTTAAGTGTTCTCAAAGGAGGAGTGTTGTACGGTCTCAACCCAACGATTGTGTCATCAAGAAGAGTGACTCATACATACGGCTTAGGAGTGGTAAAACCATTCATAAATGGACTCCATCCATTAGGTAGGAACACTTTAACTTAATACCAATACTAAAATTTTAATTACTAAGATAAAAAAAAATAGATGTTTAAAATTTAAAAAAAAGTTTTATAAATTATTTGTTTGCACTTTAAGGTATTATTTCGTTGATACTGCCCAAGACGGCATCCACTATCTCATACTGCATAGTTAGTGCTTGTGTATTTTGCTAAAACTGCTTACTGTAGCGGCCAACTCTTCTTGCTTTAAGCATTTTAAGCATCCTAGTTGAAAATGAATTTAAATGAAAACTTAACTTTAAATTTAATGATTTTCATTTTTATCAGCAGGGCAATAGTACATATAGTGATAGTGTTTCGATCTTATTTAATTAATTCACACCATTTTCCCGTTATTTAAAGTTAAATAATGAACTTAGGTTATGTCACGACTATATAGTTTTAACCATATTCTACATATTAATGCTCTCCTCTGATAAAGTGATGTTTTTTTGTAAATATTTTAAATAGAAAATATCAGCCATATGCTAGAAAGAATATGATGAAATATCATTTTAAGAACAGATATTGTAACTATGCTTTTATATTTATTACTTATTATAGGTACAATCATTTCAGTTATAAATATCATATATTTGTAATAACATAAAAATGGATAATGTTTCAAAATTAAATAATTAGTAAATCAACACTTTAATTTAAAATAAAATTGATTTTTCAATATTTGGAGTTGAGGATATACTTGAGATTAAAATTTTTTTATTGTTTTATTTATTTAATGTTAGTTGGATTTGATTTAGGTATATTAGAATCCCTCAATTAAATACTCTGGTTATTCAATCCCACAAAAAAGATTTACTATAGTTTTGTTCAAATTTTAAACAATTTTTTGTTTAATTTTGTTTTACATGGTGATAAAAAAGAAATTAATGTAGCAACATGACTGATATCATCAAAATTTTCTCCGATGTGATAACATAACCTAGAACGGTCGGACTGCTAACAGCTTCAGAGTTTCTGGAGCGGTCAGAAAGATGCAGTGTCGATATGACATCATACCAAGACTGCTGAGCAGTCCTATGTTTGCTCCTTAATGCTTGTAAATATGCTCCTTTTAATTCCACTAAAGCAGTGCTCAACTGCCAGCAGCCGCTGAGGTGGGCAGTACCAACGAAATAGAACCTTAACTTAGAAAATGAAGATATTTAGGTTTTGTGATATCTAAAATTTTTTTTCTTATCAAAATAGTAATGGAGTGCTTGAATGAGAAAAGAAAATTGATAAAAATTTGAGCCATGATAAAATTCATACAGAATTTATACAAAAACGCATAACATTTACTGTGTTTTTAAATAATAAAAATAGGAATTATTATATGATTAGCCATCTACAAATACTGTATTAAATAAATTCATTATATATTATTATCATTAACTAAAAATAAAATAATATGCTGTAACAGACAAATTAGTTATACGAGGAGGACATAAGTGGTGTGTTGACGTTCTTGAGAGACTTGTGGAATCTGGACAAGCAGTATCGGTGGGACAAATCATATCTAAAAAATTTACCCCTGCCTCGACAAACCAACGAGAAATAATATTACAGGTTTACGCTACATTGTCCAAATCTGCTCAGGTAATTATATTTGATTATAATATATTATTTTTAAAATTATTTCATAATATTTTGCATTCACTTAAGAATAATTATGTAATAACAGTTAATAATAAATTAGGAATAAAAAATTTAAACTAATTTGTATAAAGAGGATAAGTAGATTAGCAGTAGAAAAAATTAGGAGATTTATTCTATTTCAGCAATGTTTTTCAATATAACTTGTTCTATCATTTATTAAAAGATGTTATTAATATCTTGATTTTTAATAAAATTAAAACTTCTCCAGCATTATACGTGCCTCGAATATTAATAAAGTTAATATTTTTTTTCTTATTTAAGATCGGATTTTATTAACTAGGAAATTAGTTGACGCATATGTATGTTCGCTTGACTTAGTTTCAGGAAGAAAAATACACTTACAATACACAAGAAAAATACACTTTTTCAGGAAGATAAATACTTAAAAATACACTCTCACATACTGTTTTGTTAATAAAAGTTCAAAGTTAGTGTTTCATTTAAAGAAACCATTTTTCTATTGAAACTATAGTAATTTTCTCAATAAGAAAATAGAAACATTTTCTCAAACATAATGTGATAATTTATTTTAACAGAACTAAAAACTTAAGATTCCCCTACTTCCAATAAAGAAGTTTAATCTTAACTAGTCTCGGCAAACAAAGTTTACCACACAGATTCTTGATTTGACACGGGATTAGATTTCAGTTCACGGTAATAATAAAACTGGTTTTTATTTAGTACCAAAGTTTTGATTTTTATATATTTAAACTGTAATCCTAATATATTTTGAGTTAAAAAAATATTTACTTTTCTTTTTTTCCATTTTACCAATTAAGAATACTTAAAGATTCAAAGAAATTGTAATTACAGTTTAAAAGAAAAAAATAAGGGACTTTTTAAGAATTTGATGTAAGTTTTTGACCAAATGGAAAATTAATAAACATACATTATCATGGATTCAGTACATCGTAAGGAAGTTCTATTTCTTTATCAATAGTTTCACAAAGAGATCATGTGACCGGCGTTTACACTCAACCTTCATATTTATTCTCTAACCCAATTAATAGCTAAATATCCATTTTATGGAGGCTGGATACGTCTTCCAACCCCAGAGTTGATGCATATCTGATCGACCAGAATAAATAACTTATCTGCCACAGCTGGACTTGAACCCAAATTGTCATCGAACTACTAATCGAAAGTTAGTAGTCCAATAATTTCATTTTTAATTTATCGTTTGATTTTACAAAGTTTCATTATTCAAAATTTAAGAAAACAATAAACATTGAAAACCAAAATTTGTATCTTCTTAAAAATATTGAGGATCACTATTAGTATTATACAAAATAAAATCAATTCCTAATTTTCTTCTACTTTGAAATACCAAACCCCAGCAATAAAAAAAAAAAAAAGACAAAATAAGGAATAATATTATTAATTTGAATTAAAAGTAGAATATATATCTTAAAATACTTCATTCTAAACTACACGATCTTTTAAAAATAAAAATAGAATTTGATTTAAAAATTATTCTTGGAGCAAAAGACCATGCATGAATTAAGCTGATAGCATTAACCAATAGCAAACAAGTCTTAATTTACCTCCTACTATATGGTATTTAATTATAAGATAATTAAATACACAGTATTTATAAAAGAAAAAACTGTACCCCTACAACCCATGAAGGGCCTAAGATTCAGTATAAGGAAAACTGTTCCTTGGCAAGGTTATTGGGTCGAAATCACACTCGACTCCTACTTTTACCTCTTTAATTGATTATTTAATTAAGGCTAGGTGTGTTCAGGAGGGTCTCCTGATCCCAGAATCAACCCATGGCTGAAGTAACAGAATATACACCTGCCAAAGCCATAGTACATCCTGGGGCATTGAGCATTGATGTACAGTGCCTTACTCACTGAGCTAAACCACTCTCTACAGTATTTATCTCTCTGAAAACGTATTAAAAATACTTGAATAACACTTGAAATGTTTTAGATAGAACGGCGTAATGACAAAAATATTAATTATGACACATAATGAGATCTTAGTACTGAGAATGTTATAATCCCAAAGATAAATTAAATAGTTATATCTTCATAACATACTTTTATATTGATAAATTATAAATTATTACTGTACAATCATATTTGTGTAATTAGAAATCATAACAGCTATTTAAAATTTAAATATATAAGATCTTCATATATACAAATATTGGAAAAATAATTATAAAGCTAGAAGACCAGATATAATGACCAAACCAAAGTTGGTAAAATAAAACTATGAATATATTTTTTCAACACAATTAAAATTTAAAAAAATAAATTATGGCATCCAATAATTATTGACTAGTATAATATTTACTTTGAAGTAATTTAACAAAAATAATCTTTGTTATGAATAAAATAAATAAATCGACAGTGAGAAAAAATAAATAAATAAATTGTGATCTTTATGGTTAGTCAGATACGCCATCATGGAACCCAAACCTAAGCTTAACAGAACATGTGATGAGTTGATAAAATTAATATCTAAATGGCCTAGTTGAGGAGTCCCCAACCCTGTTCCTGTCTAACCTAACCTATTGTAGTCATTTCCATGGCAACTGATTATTGCATTTACGGAAAATTATCGAGTATGTATGAAAATGAAAGTAGAAAGGAGAAGGAAAAATGAAAGACCAAAGGTAAAATAGAAAAAGGCAGTGGAAGAAAGCCTGGCGGAACATGGCGTCAGAGAAGATCAAGTCATAGATACAGAAGGACCGAAGAATATCTTAAATTATATTTAGGTCAAGGATAACCATAGAAGTGGAAAAGTTCTTAATAAAAAAATGTATAACTATAGACGAGACAAGACCTTCCGAATCATATCAGGCCTAAAACAAATATAACTAGAAAGGATTGAATTTTTAGACATGAAATTTTTTTTAAAGCTATTACCATTTTTATCACATATTAAGATCCCAATAGAAAACCAAACCAAGCTATCCTTAAAATTAATACCTCTCTGCTTTATCTAACTTGGTTTGATTTCCTTCAGCACTTAAAACAAGATGTTGAAAAATGACTAAAAAAACAGGCAATTATCGAGCCTGTTAGGAAAGATATAGTTTAAATAACGAGTTACTACTAAAGACATTATTATGATAAAAGATATAATTATAGTTCAGACATATAATAATTTATTTAGTAGAGTTAACTACGACTGTAGACGAGACAACACCTTCCGAATCATTTTAGGCCTAAAATGAATACAACTAAAAAAGGATGAAATTTTTAGAAATGAATTTTTTTTAAATTTAATGTCATTTTTATACAACCTTCTTAAGATGCCAATAGATAATCAAACCAAGCTACCCTTAAAATTAATACCTCTCTACTATATCTAACTTGATTTGATTTCTTTCAGCACCTTAATATAAGACGTTAAAACATGACTAAAAATAGCTTATTTTCGAGGCAGTAAGGAAAGATATAGTTTAAATAATTAATTACTGGCAGAAAAAAAAAACACAAATTGGTGCCTACTGCTTGAATATTAATTTATAAATTTGTACTTAACAAGAAAAATGTTAGGGACTCCAGCCTTAGTTAATAAGAATTATATGATACGAGATTTAAGTTGTATAGAAAGAAGTAAATATTCGATTTGATAAATATAGGATAAACAATTATTTGTTCTATTATTTTTCTTAAAATAACTTTAATGCTATAAATAGAATTTTGTTTTTGATTTACCAATTATTCGTCTTCATCATTTCATTCAAATTAAAATATTTTTTTCATGATGTTCATTATGTACTAAAAGAAAGTGGCTGTAATATGGAATCCTGTGCATATTATAGAACTTCTTAATATTTAAGTGAGCATGAGTTAACAAAAACTGTAGGTAGAGAGAAAGATTGTGGTTCAGTCAAAAAGTTCTTTTATGATTCTTCAAAAACCTTGAGAAGTTCAAATGTTATTTTCGTTCTATATCACAAAAAACATCACAGATGATTGCAGTATACATTGATTCAAAAATATATCCGCTATAGATTTTAATTCAAGAATTGTTTCTTCAAATCAAGATGGTATGCTAGTAGGTAATATTTGACCGGCTTCTACTGCCTCCTCGTATAAAAACAGCTTCAAGAATTACTCCAGAGGTACGAAAATTGTGAGGTACAATAAGGAATGATACTGTGGATAAAACTATTTCAATGAGATCAAAAAGTATCACGGGTGAAAGAGGAGTTAGGAGCAAAACAGAATTTTTCATTTTTTTATCGTTCTATCTCATATTTTCTCCACATAATTTTTTCCTAAATAATTTGAAACATCAAATAATATGTGAAGAACTAATAAAATTAATTTTTGAATTATAACCATTGTTCTATTTTGATCATCTATGTGAAAAAATAAATAAAATTAAGAGGTTTCATATTGACTTTTAAAAGAAAAAATTAATTTTGCTCATAAGATGATTGGAAATAGAGCGAATTTGAAATTTATAGCGTATGATTTGTTAATTCTTATATATTTATAAAACTAGTAATTATCAAAGAGGTAAGATTCCATATTACAACCTCTTTCTATATAGACGTAATAGTCTCAAATATTTTATGAATAGCATTACATTTTATGACTAAATAATTAAAGAGTTATAATAAAGTCTTATGTTACAGTTTATCACAGACAATAATGTCTATAAATGTGGATTGCTCAGACTAAATCTGTCAGAGAAAAATGATACTACAACGTTGAGAGAGATCGTAGTTAGCCTGGTGTTTGGTGGTACGGAAGTAACAGCTTTTGCCGTTGATTCTTCGACAGGATGTTCTGTGAAAACAACACTCGATTTTATGGACTGATAAATCTCAAATTTGATTTTCTATTTTTTTTTTTTATTTTGATAAATTATGTGATCATTAATTTAATAAAACTGTGATAATATGATAGAATTAATTAAAATTAAATTGTTTATAGAAGATAATTACTTTTCAATAAAAAATAATAAATAGAAATAGTTTTTGCTTACCTTTTGATCAGAACTCAATTTTATTTTTATAAAAGCACTTAATAAATTTAATATACTTGTTTACATTATTTCAGCTCAGTCGTTATTTTCTCACCAGATTCTATGATTTCCTCTGTATTGGCAGGTTCATAGACCTTCGTCTTATCTTTTTCTGAAATAAATAATATTCAAGTTTTCCATATCATAAATAGATTAAACAAATATTATTTAAACTATTTTTTTTATGTTTTCTTACTTTTGATTTGTACTGTATTTCTAAAAAATGTTGTGTATAAGCAACAATGAACTATACTAGAGGCCAATGCAAGTCCTGCTGCAGACATAAACACCACTTTTCCTCCGTACCACTTGTACAGAGCACTCCACAATAAATTACCAACCACGAAACCTAAAAATAAAAACTTCTTTATTAAAATTAAGGTATGAACAAGATTTTATGAGGATGCTGTGAATGTAGCGGTGGAACACGTTTTGTGTTAACTTTAAAATTTATATCTTGAAAGCTATGGATAATTATTTTTTTAAAATGATGTTAATTAAAATTAACTAGATGTGTCACTTCAGATTATTATAACATGAAAACGACTCTTCAATAACAGTACTACAATGCTTACTCTATGTTAGAAGATCTTAGACCCATCTTTTTCTCAGGCAACCCAGAGGATAGTCAGGAATTTATGGGGAGGATTAGAACTAGCAAGTTTATATGAAAATTTGTATCAAATAAATTTCTTAAGAGGAGATTAATTTTATTACAATTCAGAAGAAATTCCAAGCTTTTGTGGAAAATAGAGTTGATATTTTATGAAATTATTGGGTTGGCAAATAAGTCTTTCTGTTTATTTTTATGTCACTAAGATACACTTCTTATCTGACGAATTAATCTCTAAGATGGATTGTTTATTCTGTTTGTACTATGTCAACAACTATTTCTGTTGACTCTTGTTGAAACTAGTTTAGTATTGTGTTAGCTATTGCACTGTCAATATGGAAGAAAATATCATTCATTATCGGCATATTTTGTTGTATTATTTTTAAAAAGATAAGCATGCTGCAGTAGCTCATAGAAAAATTTGCAATTATAATGGAGATGATGTCATAACCGAACGCACCTGTCAAAATTGGTTCGCCAAAATTCATTCATTTCTTCACAATACTTGTCTAGTTTTCACAATATCTTTATGTGTTTTCAATTTAACTTCTCAAGGAACAGATGTAAATCATTTATTTCCTCTAGTTATTTATTTATTTTTTTAATATATTTTAGCACTGAAATGGTTTGCCTATAAAACTTAATTAGAAATTCTTTCTTAGTTCGGCTCTAGCCGGTGACAAAGACACATCGGCTCCACGGCGGTTTCCTATTTGATTGAGTTTTATTCGCCCAATTGAGCCAAAACTTGACATGTGACCGAAGACGTATGCTGGAGACCTGCTACTTGAATTTCGAAAAAATCAAGCAAAGAACTTCGCCAGGACCAGGAGGTAAAGAACTCAACGTGCCTGTGGGACCGGGGTCCTTATCGCTGTGCAGAATAGGACTTGTCGGCCCCCTCCACCTCTCAGCGGCCGCCTCCATCCAGCAAGGTCAGTGGCGTCTTATCAATACCAACAGCTGTCACCGAAAGAGCCCAACCTATTTTGTTGTTATCATTTTTTTCTCTCTCCTCTCTTATTAAAAAAAAAAACTGATCACAGGAAAGCTTGATTATTGAAATTAATGAATTATTATTTATAAGAATTAGTATTTAGCTTTATCAACTGATCGATTTATTCAATTTTATTTATTATTTATTAAGTGGACGTGGGTGTGTTTATTTAATTTTTAACAATATATTTTATATATTTAATTTGTTTTTATTCATTAACTTATTTATTAATACATTACTATTTAACCTAGATTTTATTAATTGTATATTCTAATTTGTTTTTACTTGTTAACTTATTTATTAATCCATTATTGATCAACTCATATATTAATTGTAGATTTCAATTTGTTTTTAATAAACTGATTTTATAGATTTTAACGTTTTACCATAATTTATTTTATATATTTTAACTTAGTTTTAAGCAATAGAGTCTACAGATTTTAATTTCATTTTATATTTTAGCTTAGTTTTAAGATAGATTTTAACTTATTGATTAACCTTTTTAACTTGGGCTCTATTGATTTTATATTGTGACTTATTTTTAATAAATTGATTTTATAGATTTTAACGTTTTACTATAATTTATTTTATATATTTTAACTTAATTTTAAGCAATAGAGTCTATAGATTTTAATTTCATTTTATATTTTAGCTTAGTTTTAAGATAGATTTTAACTTATTGATTAACCTTTTTAACTTGGGCTCTATTTATTTTACATTTTAACTACTTTTAAGCATTTGATATTATTAATCTGATATTTAAGTTTATATGTTGGCATATATGCATGTCTCTCCCGTTTAGTTTTTATTTATTTGTATACGGGTCCACTCTCCTTTAGATGGTTTGTTTTAACCATGCGTGTAGTACGCATGGGTCTCTAGGGGAGATATTGGATTTTGAGTGGACCTAAGGACAATGAATGAAGTCGAGATTGGCCAGAGGGTATGGGTTCTGAGAACTAGAGGACCTGCTCAGGAGGCTGTTGTTGCCTCTGTGATGTCTGTGGATGCCGCGGAGGGCGGCGAAAAGAAAATTGTAAAAGTCGAATGGCCAGACACAGAAGGTGTACTATTGGGAAAGACAGTTTCGATAGATGACGTCTTCCCATCATTGCCAAATGTTCCACAGAATGTCGAGGAGGCGAACAGAGAGCAGGAGAAAGAAGTTCTACGCCCTAATAATAAAGTTTGTCCCATATGTGGGCTTTCTTTTAAGGGTGAAAGAGGTCTAGGAACCCATATTGCCAAAAAACACCCCAGGGAGGCTAATACCAATACACTGAGGGGCATAGTGAAAAATGTTTTAGGGCCTAAAAATGGAGAGGGTGAGGTATCAAAAATAAAAGAGGACATTATCGGATGGTCTGCTGTGTTCAAAAACCTCTCAAAAGAAAGCACGATAAATATTGCGGATTTTGATGAGGCCGTAGGCAGGTTCCTGAAATTTCTCAAGAATATCAATGCGGAACTGCCAGGTCCCCAGCACCCAGCCGTTAAATTTTACAGATTGAGGAAAAAAAATAAAACTAAAGTGACTGACAAGGGTGCTGGACAAGTCTCAAATCCGCAAAGAGCGAACAAAGTAGACAGGAGTCGTCGGCAAGAACAGTATCAATATGAGGTTGCACAATATAATTACTATAATAAAAGGAAAAAGGTCGTGCAAACCGTAATGAATGCCGACGCTCCTAAGCGGTGTCCTCTGAAGATGGCCGATATCGAAAAACATTATAGAGACCTCTTTGAGAGCGAAAATCTCCGCAGGCGTGCGGATTACGAACAGTGCGCCCCGATGCCAAATTTGGTGTCCATTGATCTAGAAGCCGTCAAAAGAGCCATTAAATCAACATCAATGGACACATCGCCGGGGCCTGATGGAGTTCTGATCCGCACGATTAAGTATTTTGATGTAGCAAATATTATCAAAGTAATTGCGGAGATAATGCTGAAGGTGGCCTATGTCCCAGAACCACTTCGACAAGGGCGCACAATACTAATATATAAGGGGAAAGGTGATGTAAATAAAATCCCTTCTTGGAGGCCCATCACCATTTATTCTATTGTGCGCCGAATCATAGAGAAGGTTCTGGACCATGAACTAAGAAAGCAGGTCACCTTCCACAGGAATCAGAGAGGCTTTATAAAAGGCCTCCCGGGAACGCACGTCAACGCAAGGATTATCGACGCTATATTAAAAGATGCAAAAGTTATGAAAAATGATTGTGCGGTAGTCTTCCTTGACGTTGTCGGTGCTTTTGACAATGTTGGCCATAAACACATCATGAGCTCCTTAGAAGCAAGAGGTGTGTCACCGGATCTTAAACGTGTTATATCGGCTCTCCTCTGCACCAACACAATCAAAATTAGTAACGGTGTTCACGCAACTAGCCAAATCAAAGTGCTGCGCGGGGTACCCCAAGGCGGCCCCTTGTCGTCGTCGCTCTTCAACCTGGCCATCGATCATCTCTATCACGACCTGTGCGATGAAGAATTTTCCAAAAAATTTGGATACAAGTTAAAAAGTGACCAAGGTTGTGTGGTCCTCACAGGTTTCGCGGATGACCAGGCCGTGTCAGCGCGTGACAAGGGGGCTGCAGAAAGAGTGATTGGCAGCGTTCAGAGGACTTTTGAGGAAATTGGTTTGGCTATTAATCCTCAAAAAAGCGTGGGCATCGTTCTAAATAAAGGAGAGCTGGAAACAGCGATGCTCTCCCTTGAGAACGGAGAGTACATCCAAACATTGCAGAATGGAGATACAATCAAGTATTTAGGATGTACATTCTCGGGAGAGCTACAGTTCAACGAAGATTCGGTGACCAAATTGAACGAAAATCTGAATAAACTGGTTACCTCTCCCTTGCTGAAGCCGGAGCAGAAGCTAAACATTGTCAACCAATATCTGTTCCCGGGTCTTACTTACCCTCTCCAAACTGCGCCCCTCACAAAGCTGCGTCCTGCCATACTTGACGGCATCGACACCATGATTCGCAGGAGTGTGAAGGCTATTGTTGGACTCCCTGCGAACACCTCCACGGCGATGTTGTACGCTCCCAGGAGGTATCGAGGATTAGGATTAATCCGCTGCCAATGGGAGGCTCCTCTACAACATTGGTCCATTGCTCAGCGACTGTCCAATGTGCCCGATGCCCTTTTTCAGTCGATCTTTGATTATTCGGCTGAGGTTGATGAATGTGCCGAGAGATTGGGGGTTGATCGGGGTATTCGGAATATGAGAGCTCTACGGCAGTCGCTTCGAGAAAATTCCTTTGAGGAATGGACCAATTGCAGGTGGCAGGGCATTGGAGTTCGCCATTTTAAAGAGACCCCGAAAGCCAACAAATACATGTATGATAAGCAAGTACTTTCTGGGTCTGAATGGTCAAATGCCCTGAAACTGAATATTAATTATGCACCCCTGCGTGGAGTCCCAGGTGTCAGCGGACAGGTAAGAGAAGTTGGGTCCCTCTGTCGCAAATGCGACAGAGAGCCAGAAACACCAGCACATGTGCTTGGAAAATGCCCCAACAACTCCCTCCTTATAACGCGCCGTCACCACCGAGTCAAACATGAACTGATGAGGCTCCTTATAGAGAAAGATTACGCCTGTTTCGAGGAAGTATATTGTATAGATACGGATGGATCCACCCGATATGCCGACATAGTAGCATTCCCTAAGACGGGAAAGTCGGCGATGATTTTGGATCCGACCGTGAGATATGAGACCAACGACCTCGATCAGGCAGGAAAAGTGGAAAGGGAGAAAAAACAGACATATGAGAAATGCATCCCTTTCCTTAGTGAAAAGTTCCGCGAGAGTTTCGGGCCGAGAGAGTTCCACGTGAGAGGCCTTTGGTTCGGAGCTCGCAGAACGATACCAGACTCAACAAGGAGCTTCATGGAGGGCCTTGGTGTCGACATAAGGGACGTGGCAGGGTTGGCAGAGAACATAATCCTTGACTCCCTGGGAATTATCCATCACCATGTGCATGGATAGAGAGTGTGTTCATGGGGGGAGGCATGCGTGTTTTACAGCATTTTTACATTATTTATTGACCACGTCCACTGCACTTTATGTATTTGTATGCATGTTATGAATTAGGTTAGGAAAAGAGAGGAGAAAATCTAGGGAACGAGAAAAATGTATAGAGTGAGAGAAGGAACAGAAAGCAATGTATAGTGCTAATAAATGAATTAAAGAAATGGTAAAAATAAAATAAATAAATAAAAAATAAATAAATAAATAAAAATATAGGAAAAAAATTATGATAAAAAAAATATATATATAGATATAAAAAAAAAAAAAATTGTATATTATGCTCATATATGTTGTTAATACTATATAATTGTATATTAGTTTTTGAAAATTGTCTGTAGCGATTAATAAGTATGCTGTGTTTAAAGCAACCCAATGTAATTGGGCAGCACCCTTTTAAGATAATAAAGTGATTCTCTCTAGTTATTTTTATGTTTTTGTTTTTTGCAACAATATTGTAATATTGTAACCCTAGTACCCATCTGCTTTCCTTAATATATCCTCAAAGCTATGTATATACTTATTTTATTATTTAGATTTTATGTATTATTTATTGCAATAAGTCTTCGGGCCGGATTTACTATTAATTGGTATGAACAATATTGTTATTCTTAAAGGACCTATGATTTTCTATTTCTAATTTTTGGGTCCCTCACCCTCTAACCGAAGTCAACTTGGCAACATGCATTTCTATTTGTGATTCACTACGGAAACGGCAACAAAACGACCCATTTTTGAAAAGGTCGGTAACAGGAGATGAAAAATGGAAATTTTTTACGATAATGTAGTCCATAGAAAATCTTGGGGACCTAGTAGTGAGTCTCCTAGAAAAATGTCAAAACCCTGATTGTATCCAAAGATCTTGTATCCAAAAATGCTTTTCATATGGTGTTATTTCAAGGGAGTTATTTTCTATGAGATATTGCCATCAGAAAAAACAATTGATTCAACTCTATACTGCTCACAATTAACAAAATTGGATCAATCAATTAAAAATAAATGCCCATAACTGGAAAATCGGAAGGGTGTTGTGTTCCACACCTCATTGGTCACCCGCAATAAATTATTGAGCCTTGGATGCGCCACCCATCCTATTCACCAGACCTAGCTCCAAGTGACTACCACTTAGTCAGTTCTCTGCAAAACTCCATGAATGGAAAGAAATTCAAAAAGGAAGAGGACATCAAAAATCACTTGGATCAGTTTTTTAACAATAAACTCCAGACACTCTATGAACATTGCATTATGCAATTAGTGGAAATATGGGGAAAAGTCATATTAAATAATGGTCAATATATTGTAGATTAAAATAAATCTTATGTCTATAATATATTGAGTTTTATTTCACCCTGAAAAACCGAAAGGACTTATTTGCCAACCCAATATGATATAAGATATTTAGAAAATTTGAGATTCTTGTTTTAAACAAAATAGGTTCTTTAAAAAATAAATAAAAGTGTGAAATACTTTGTTATAAAAATAACCAAAATTATAATTACAAAGTTGAACATTACATTCAGTTTGTCAAACTTGGCTTAGTTGAATAGGGCTATAAATTTAAATGTAAATACTAATAAAAGACGAAATCATACAAACAAATTATCTGTTGTAAAATAACTAGCAATAAATTACGAAACATTGTTACGCAACATTTAATTCATTTATCCTAGCATAAATAGTAATGTTAAAAAATTTATTTGTTGTAAACCTTGACACATTTTAAACAACATTTTAGCGTTATGTTTACACAATTTTATCGTTATTTGAATTAAGATTGAGAAAGCTTATTAAACAAAAACTGCTAATTAAACAAACAGGGAAAATTTGAAAAATAAACAAGAACTCAAACATAGTTGTACAGACAAACAGTAACTATAAGAATAAACAAATAATATAAAAATAAAAATAAAAAAGCCTTTAAACTCAATGAAAAAAACAAAAACAAACAATACTACAAAGAATACAAATTACAAACGATAAATGATGAAATGTTGGCAGAATTCTAATTGTATCAATAAATGAGTCAAACAATAGAAAGTCATCAACTTTTTCAAACATCCACTGTAGTGGGTTCAGTAAGGTCCTGAGCTCATAGAAAACAATTGAGGAAAAGATATAGATGATTATTCAAATATCTTGATAAAGGTATGTAATATATATAAAATGTAAGATACTAACCAAATGCATCATCCATCCCGGCAGCAATTCCTTGAACTGTCGCTGTTGTTCCTGGCGGAGATATTGCACTAGCATATGCAACAATTGTTGTGTAACAGAGAGCATAAGTTGGTCCTTGCATCAACAACTCGATTGGTAAAATCCACCAAGGAGACGGTATCATGGCGATCAAAGCAAATCTTATAGCGTAGAAAACAAAGCAAAGACTCAAACAATGACCATAGCCAAGCTTTCTGAGTATTTTACCTGAAATTTAAAAAAAAATTGGTTTGCTTTTTGCATTTTTTTTTTGTTATGACTTTATCTTCACAAATGTTTAAAAATAAAAAAAATCAGAAAAGTACCCAACTGCAGAATAAGTATTATTTACGCATTGTAAGAATCATTTATTCTAAATAATTATAAAAATATTAATAAACTAACCGGACAAATAAAATGAAACAACTTCTCCTATGAGTGTTTCAGCAGCGACAGTCAGACCTTGGAGAAGTTTCATATTTTCTAATTGTCCCATTTCCTTAGCAAGATCTTCAAGGTACCTAAAATTATTCTATTTATTTAAATAATGATTACATAATAATTATAGAATCATAAATAAAATAAATAATTTGTCAACATAATTATTTACCATAGTAAATAGAATATTATAGCTGAGTCTCCCATACCAGCTAATACAGCAAAACCTAAAAACGTTGCAATGTGCGGCTGTTTGACTAGATTCCATACATCTAAGACAATATTTTCAGATTTTACCATTGGAGGTAGCTAAAAATATCATCCATTAAGATCAAATAATAAATAAACGTTAAACTAAGAAGGAATATCAGCTTACTTTCAGTTTGTAGCAAAAAAACAAATCGATAACCATGAAAAAACAACAAAGATACATGGCTGGGTAGAAGTCTTTAATAGAGTATAATACGGTATTGTCAACATTGTTCATAAAGAATCCACCGATAAGGCAAAGCAGTCCGAAGCCAATAGTACCCCACACTCTCTGTTGGCCATATTTCATTTCATTCCCTTCTCCTAATTTCCTAACACAATTACAAATATTACAAATAATAAACACAATTTTATTTATTTTATACATTTTTTACTTATTTTTCGTTAGATAATTCATTGTTATAATCCTTCACTATTAACTTACTTCAATAATTCTGAATGTAAAATTTAAAAATAATCATAGTAAAATTAATTTATAATTAGAGATTAATAAAAATAATTATAAGAGAGCAAATTTATTATAAGAGATTGAAAGGGCTGAAGAACATCAAAGGATATCCTGAACAGATAAATAAGGAAATATTAAGACTTGGGATAAAAAAAAGAGGAATACTTAGATGGAGATAAATCCAGAGGAACCGTGAATAAGATGAAAGTCCTCAGAGTAGAAAAAGAAGAATGGGAGAAAGGAAATGGAGAAAAGAACAGAAAAAGGAAAAGAGTGAAAAATGAAGAAAGTTTGGGCGAAAAGGAAAGCCAAGAAATAATGATATAGGTGTGGTCCTCGGCTAGCCTATATTGTGAAAAAAATAAATAAACAAAAAGTATCCAATTAAATCCAAAATTATAATAATATCATCTTTAATCCAATTTGTTATTATTTGTTGTATTACACATACAATATTATATGTTATATGTACAATAAAGATAATATTACAGTGAGGAATTTAATAGTCAATGGTACAGACTCCTTTTTATCAAATTATTAACACTCGTCTAAAACATAGTGAATACTAAAAAATGGTGTGCAATTAGGCCTATAACATCGTCATTTTGACAAGTTGAGGATGGAAGTCTTGCGCCAAATGGCTCAATATTTCAGAAGGGCATCTTTTTTCTCAATTTTTTTATTAAATCATTTTATGATTTAAGTGGAAACAAAATATGTGTTCATTTGAAAAAATGTCCCATTTCTGAGAATTTTTCTTTTTAATGTTTTAGATTACAATAAAATGAAGCCATTCTTTGTTTTAATAAGTAGTTTTAGAGAAGTGTTAATTATTTGATAAAGGGGGTTTGTACTGTCGAATATAATTTGAAAGTAAAAATTTGAATTTTTAATAAGGGTTTTAAATTTAATTTTATTAAATTTAAATTTAAAAATTAAATTTTTAACCTATCTGAAAGTCGTAATTGCTCCAATTTTTGCAACCCTTTTAGACCAATATTTCTAATTTAGACCCTGCTTTTTAGATTAGAGTATTTTATTGGGCTAACTTCAATTTAAATTTTCGACTTGAAATACCCAGCTACAAAGTAATTGACGGTTATTTAATAGTTTAGGATGGTAAATAATTGTTTACTTGCTTAGCTTGCTAACTTCACATATTCCAGCTGATTAAATGAATACATTATTTGCTCTCTATCTAAAATAGTTCCTACATTTTATGTATGTGATTCAGATGAAGTTATCTTTCAACAATTTACCCCTTCTTGATAGTATTTCTGGAAAGTCAGAACTGTTCCACTCCAAATTCAACCCCCTCTTATAAAATTGCCAAAGAAATGATTTTTTTTTATGACAGCAGAACCCAGAATTTAAAATAAAATAAAAAAATGAAATGAAAGAATTCTTACCCAAAACTTCAAAGCAAATGGCATCTGCCAAAGAGTTACAAATGTTGCAAAAAACTGATCCAATAGAAATCGTAATGACAAAAGACCAAAAAGTCATTCCAGTGTAAAACCCTGATTTCATCTTAGCATAGGTTGCGATACAAGGTTCATTGTTGCTACAGTTTAAAGAGGGTCTATTACTAACACAGAGTGTATCGTCATCGCTGAAGATTTCATGAGTAACATTGCCACACACCAGCTGAGCATTCCATAGTTGATAAACCTATAAATATTGAAAATTAAATTTATTTTTTTAAATAAAACTACAAACAATTTAAAAATATATAAAAGAGATATATTGAATCATAATTTAGACAAGTTTAACCGTTACTCAACAACAAAAAAGACTTCATTTCTAAATTTCAATGAAAATAAAAACCTTTATAATATATTCAGGATGTGGCTACAAAATAATAGGACTGATGCTGTAAAATATTTTATTTTGATTTCATATATACTAACTTATTATCACATTCAATATAAACCCCTCATCTATCGCTACAACACACCATGCCAAACTTCCATCGTTTGAAAAGTGCTGGAAGTCTTCTTCTGTCAACTCCTTCAGGATGTCTATTATTTTCTCTTTCAATAAGAACACGAATGTAGTGATGTTGATTAATAGGTTGGCCTTCAGGAACCCAATAAAGATGCACAATCCCATAATTATAAAAAAAAAAAATCATCATTGCTTTGAATTTTAACTCGTCCATTCGAGAATTTTTGGCCCACAGTGAAGTTTGGCCCTTCCAGTACAAGGATTGGTGCTTCGTTTTAGAATCATAAGTAAGAAACCTCTAAGTAAGAAATATGCAATTTAAGTTTCGTATGACTTTTCGTTTTTGAGTTAGGCTGTTCACCCTCACACAGACCATTTTGTGGGATTTGTTATTTCGATTCAGGGGACCTCAAAATATATATTTCCGTTCAAAACTGGTATTTGAAATTTTTCACGATTGCAATACTTTAATATATGTTAATAAAATAAATATATTTGATATATTAATAGAAATCATATGATGAATAGATTTCCTTTTTATATTAAATTAGATAATCCTGTTGTGCAGCATAATATAAATTAGAATAAATATTAGTTGATAGGTAATTAAAATAAAAATATTTAACACTCTATCTCAGCTGATCATAAAAAAAATGACCAATCCAAAAAATTAATATATATGGTCAGTTTATTACAAAAAGTCATAAAGTAATATTTATTTAACTAAATAACAACAATTTTTATGATTTTTCCCACAGTGAAATTAGAAAATTGAAAATATATTATAAATATAAATAAAAGGGATTGTGTCATTTTAAGTCGCTTACTGTGATATTTTATTGGTAAATAAGGAGAAAATTCACTGTTTAAAATTTTAGCTCCACAAAACAAGTACTTCATGACTTTTTGCAATAAATCGACGATATTTTCTATAATGTTTAATTTATTATGTAATAGTGCTTACCGATTTTTCGCAAATGTTTATATCTGTACAATTAACATCCGTATGTACGATATCTTTACTTTCTGGTATAAATATCATTAAAGCAAAACTCACTGTCATCAAACTCAGTAAAGACATGTAAACTACTTTCCTTTTCTCTTGAAAATAGTCCAAAACGAACCCAAAAATAGGTTTCAAAGCAAAAAACAAAACTGGAATAGATGCATTTATCGTTCCAATTACAACTTCTGACACACCAAGATGCTTTCCGAAAATTGGAAGAAAAGGCTGGATAGGACCTAATGCTAAAAAAAATAAAGCAATAAGTATTTAATTATAAAAATAAATAAATAATTTAAGTTATAAAATAAGATTTTTTTTTTAAACTAACCTCCTAAGAAAAAAAAGTAATGGGCTTTCACAGGAAAAAGTTTGTAGTTTATCTTCACCATTTTAAAGACTTATACGGCTCCTAAAATAATTAAACAAATATATAAATTTGAAATAAAGTTAACAATATTCAAACAACAAAATTTGGATTCAGATTAACAATTTGTAAATCACTGATACGGTTATAACACAAAAATAAAGGTACCTTGTAAAGAAACAGAATCCAAACATAACAATCGGAAGATCAGCAACGAACCAATTAAAGCTCAAAAATAACTATTATCTTGACAAATGAAATATTCGACCTTCATCTATTAAGCTCTTGTGAAAATCACATGACCCTAGTCTACAATGTATGTCTAGCAAATATACTGGCTGAGTTGACTTAGTGAGATAGTTTCATCAAATATAAGTTAGAAGGACTTGAAGAAAATATAAGAATAAAACTGCAAGTGTCAGTCCAGGTCAACGACTGATATCTTTATGAAGACTGTCAAGGCTGATAGAAAAAAAAAAAAAAAAAAGCTAAGGCTCAACACATTGTTTGCATTATAGATACTGCTTAGATAATAAAGATAAATATTCTTCATAAAAGCTTATTATTCAGCAGTATATCTAAAAATTAATTTTTATATACTTAACAAGAAAAACATGATTATTTAACTTTCTATAAAAAAAAAAAAAAAAAAATTTAAATAAAAAAAGGAAGAAAATTAAAATTGAAAAAGGCAATCAATACATATAAAAAATCATTTTAACAAAACATAATAAAAACCTTTTATATTTGTGAATTTCAAGAATTTTTTCATTTATTCATAATAATTACAAATGTACAATATTAAAAAAAAAAATGTTTTTATTTAAACCTAATAAAATATTTTTAAAAATATATAATTTCAATAAATAATGTACATTTTATTTGTTTCTAATTATAAAAAATAAGATTGTTTGATTTATATTTATTTGTAGTCAATTTTACATATTAAAAAAATTAATAAAACTATTAATAATTTATATACATAATTTAAGGCATTTCTACCAAAAATGTTTAATAACAATAAAACTCTATTAAATTAAAATTCAATCAAAATTGTAATTTAATATAAAATTGACTTAATTAAAACAGAAACTATATATTAATTTACTTATTAAATACATAGTTACTTATTATTTATAACAAATAATATGCAAAATTATTTACCAAAAACAAAAATGGTACACTGAGACAAAACTAACTAATTTATAATAATTAATACATTACAAATAGACAATAATAAAATATATTTGTTTAATATATATGTAATAAATGATTTTATGAATTAATCTATAGATCTAAAAATAAAACATATAAAGAGGCTTAAAACTGAATATTGCAATTTTAGAAGGCAGAATATATTGGAGTTAAAGGATATGGCATGTTCTGATATTTTTTTAGCAAATGAGTTTCAAGTTGAAATGCTGAATTTATGGAATTACACATTTTTTAAAATATTTTTTTGTAAATATAAAAGGTATTACAATTAGGAGTGAAACATAGCATCCGGTAAACTAAATTGGATTGTTGGAGAAGTGGTAAGGGATCTTTTATGTTGCTGTATACGGTTTTAAGTATATAATTATTTTTTAAAATTAGGCATATGTTAGGAAAACTGAAAGAATTTTTTTTTTTAATTGTGTATATATTTAGCTACTACAATAGTATGAATTTACAATAGTAGGATTTTTTAATTTTATTGGAAAGAATAGAAGTATATGGAATTGATCTGTATTGCATAGATGTAGAACGGGATTGTGAGGAATTTGTTTGAGAGTGGAATTTGAAGGAACTGTTAATTAAAGATGATGAGGTGGTGGGCAGATTATTAGATTTTACGATCTTGTTCTAATAATGAAATTGGGGGTCAAATAAGGTCAAACAGCGGTGTATGAGGATTTAGGTTGATTGTTAATTTTTTGGTGGTAAAGGTCTTGGGAAAAATAATTTAGGATGTGGCCAGTTTACAATCTTGTTCGTAAATCTGATGCACTATAGCACTGCATTGAATATAAATTATAATTAATTGCTTTATGGATGTTTACAGATTATATAAAATTAATGTGAAGATAAGGAAAAAATTCATGTTTTTTTTTTTTTAAACAAAAATAAACCATCAAGAGAAAGAGCTGAAATTGTACTAATTAATACAAAATATGGATTCTCTAATAAATAGTAAATTTTCAAAAAAGATTAATACAAGACTAATAAATAAATAAAATAAATTTCATGAACTAACACAAATCCAGTATATTAACATACCTCATGATCAGCTATAAAAACCTAAATTTGTCAAATTAAAATTACTATTTAAATAGCAATCTTTATTGCCAAGAATAGCTCCTTTATGATCATAAATTATATTCTTTATATTTACCATATTTTATTTTTTAAACATAATTATGATTTAACCCAGCAACATCATTTAGATATCATTAAATTTAACAAGAACATTTTTAATATTATTAATTAGAGCCTATTCATTTTGAATTTCACCTTATCAAATTATAATTTTATATTTAAACATTACACAAAAACTCCATAATGAATTTAAAATACTATTAGGAATTAATTTTGAAGGAATAACATTAAGAACGAATTCACTGTTCTCATTTATTTTAATTAATAATTTTATAAAAAATATCTTTACTAGATCAAGATCTTTAGGGCTTTTCCTTGGCTATAGCTCTCCCATTATGAATAAGGATAATAGTTTTTGGATAATTTAATAACACAAATTCAATATTTGCACATTTAGAACCTAACAGCACACACAATTTATAGATACCTTTCATAGTTTAAATTGAAACAATTAGAAATGTTATCAGACCAGAAAATTTAGCCATACGACTGACAGCAAATATATTCTCTTGACATTATTTACGAATAAGATTATTAGGTAATAAGTCATTAAGAGTTAATACAATAATTTTTTATTTAAAATGGAATTGTACACTTGACACATTATATAATTGATAGATACTTGAAAAGAATAATTGAGGTGAAGAAAAAATATTTAAAATAAACTTATAGACTGTTGATTATTTGATAGAAATTGAAAATTTCTAATTATAAGAAAAGTAAACTTTGACAGGTAAATAAAACAAAATTATTTTTTTACTTTATAAGAGAACCATTGTTAATATTGTATAAATAAAATTATGCATATTATAAAACATGTAATATTATAAGTCAGAATTTTTTTTTATTTATTTGAATACGTAGAAGAATTTCCACTGCCTATCAACACACATTTCGCATCAATATATCTATTGACTGTGCAGTTTGGCAAACGTCTGAGTCAATAAAAAATATATATTATACCCGAAATGACAAAAGTATATTTATTTAATCCTATTGCAAAAGGGAAGTGTCACCAAAACTGGTTAATTATGAAAAAAATAAGAAAATAATTGTGATTTATCAAACCATCAACACACAAGTTAAAAATTATAAATTACAAACCATATATAGCAACATGATACGCCACAGCCGTATGCATATACATATGAATATTATTGTTTAAAACAAAATTCAACTTTTATTTGAATACTTTTCTGGGAAATTGTTTCATGCAATAGATAGTGGTACATCATTAAATCATGAGGAAATAACTATACATGGGATAAATTGAAGAAAACATGAATTCATATTTGAAATTTTAAGAATATTAACTGTTCTCACAGACCCTATTCTTCACAGTTATTTATATTGTTTATAGTTAAGAGTACCTTAATGGTCATTGTTTTATATAAGCAACCTTCTCATAATTTAGAACTCAATGGTAAAAAACTGTGACCTTCAATAATAGTTTTTTTAAATGAATGAATTGTTGTGAAAGAAACAACTTTACAAAAAAGAAAATCTCTAAATAATTTAATATACAAGAACACTATGCTAAAAGGAAATACTTGTCTGAGAAAAATTAATTTTTATTAAAATATTTTTGACCTTAATGGTAAAATGTAACTTTAGTATCCAAACTTAAGGGTAAATTGTAAGGACTAACCTGAATCCACATAACTATCATAACACTCTTAAAACTAAAGATTTAAAAAACATATAATTAATTCTTTTCTACTCCTTTGGATTAAGGTAAGGGCATTATAAAATAAATAATAGTTCTTTCCAAAAAATAAAACTTAACCAAAGACTAATCAAATACAAATTCTAATTTAAAACAGATATTTTATATTTAAAAATATATAAAAAATATTCTGAGCTCAATATTACTTTAATAGGGGAGGGGAATTAAAAGCTGTATAACGCCGACATTTGAACTAAGTATTTTAATGTTATGACTAGCAATGTTTAATGAATTGGCTACTAATTATAAAGTTCAATGGTCTCAGTAATCAAAACATTTAAACTGACAATAACAAAGTCATTTTGATTAAGGCTAATTCCGTAAAACCAAAGAGCTAACAACTGCCCACTTTGAAGCTGTTTTGAACATACAAGAGTTAGAATTTTAAAAAACGGGGCAAATCGCTGAATTCAGGGCTGACATCACTGATGAGCATCAGAAATCCATCCTAGCTTTCCTAAACTCAGCGCTGACCTCATTTATGAGCATCAAAAACTCATCAGTGGGTTACAGCTTTGTTAAGAAACTTTCCCAAAATGAAAAGTACTGAAATGACAAGCAAGTTCCTAAATTCAACGGTAATCCGTTGATAGATTAGTCTCTTATTAGAATTTTTGAACTTTTCCATTGTTAATCGATGAGTTTAGCAATAGTCCGATGGATTTCCGATCCTCACTAGTGATCAGTGCTGAGTTTATGAACTCGTCCAACATTTGCATATCTTTCAAAAGAAACTCATCAAAAGAAAGACTAAATCGATGAAAATTACTGCACAGTAATTTATTATTTTAAAATATTTGTAAATCGAAAATGTTTAGTATGTCCCCTGAATTTTTTGATAGCTTCAAGAGAATGTTCAATATATTTTCAGATAATTATTGCTCCGATAAAGACATTTTATATTTAGCGATAGAAACAATTAAATTATTTTATGAACATTTGAAATCGATTTACAAAAAAAAAAGTATGGTAAGATCTCCTTGGTCCTCATTTTTTGTGCTCGAAATCATTTTATGGATATATCTGCAAATTGTTTTTTAAAAATTTGACAAAGTTCAAAATCTTCTCCGATTTCGATGTTTTTTTGTAATTTTGTAAGGAATTTATTTTCTTTCAAATGATCATAATCAAAGTTAAAAAATTGTATTTACTGACTTATTCACTAATAAGTTTCTCAACTTTTGTCCACAGGGTATTACGCACATGGTGGCTAATTTAGTGTACAGCAATCGGGTACCAAAACTCTACACTTATGTGTATGTACATAACCTTATGTACAAATTTATTTATTCTATATATTTGGCATCAGAAAATAATTGTGAAAGTATAAGGAATTGAGCCGGATCGGTTTCAATGGCAGTAGAGCTGAGCGGAATGGACTCTTCAGCTATTAACGGATCCTTGGATTTGAAAAGTTACGACCGACCGGTGTTCATTTTACTATCCAAAGATTAAAACGGTGTGGCTTAGAATGTAATCAGGCTCAATTTCAAAGCTGACTCAGTATCAACCGAATTATTATCCATAATACCCGACCTTAGCGACTCGATTTTGCGTATTGCTTTAGAAAACATCGATAAATAACGCTTGTTAATTTAATTTTTTTAGTTTTCCTTTGATGTATCAAAGCTCATTGTTATACTTTTTTCATTCTTAGATCATGAATTTGGAATAAAATTTGAGTAGAACAGAAATCATGTGGAGAATATGGGACATTTAATTTGAACCAACCCTTTGTTTGTTTACAGTGGAAGATCTCGTTCTATGTGACAGTAATACAAATAGATTTTCACTTTGCTGTGACATATCTCGTATTATGTGATATATCTTTATGATTTCCATTTTAACTACCCAACTTTACAATGTTAATTTAATTAGTTAATTGATCTTATCAATTAAATTACAGAGGTCCCTTGTTTTGATGATTTTGCATGGCTTGAAGTCTCTATTATATGTGTGATATGATGATTGTTATATTTTAAATTTAAAGAATATTGCAAAATCACTTGTTTTTTTTTTCAATCTTAGCCATCTATTTGTCAATTATATGTATAGGAAATAAGGATCTTAAAATGTAGTATTGGTCCTTATCAAATCTCTCTTGTTTGATTTTTTAAATGTAATCTATTGAACTGATGAATAGATATATTGTGTGAATTGGTAACTGGACAAAGTTGAGTTGCATTACATTTTTATTGTAGGAGAACCATTTGGACATTATATTTATGTGTTGTACTTTGGTTCTGAACACCCAGAACCTTGTTAATATGGAAAGACTAAGCAGAGGAATGAATGCATATAAAAATTGAGAACTAACTGGTGACCTCAGAATAAAATCCTAATCCAACATAAGATATCTTTTTTATGAAAACCAAATCCAAATATCTTATCTAAATTACCTACTAAAAAAATATATAATTCATTGAAATTTTAAAATCGATAATTCAGGTCATTAATCCATGTTTGAGTTTCTATAAAAAAATTGCTTTAAAATGCAGTTTTCGTTTCCCCTAATTTTAATGATATTAAAAAATAGTAACAATTTCATGTTGTGATCAATATAAATGATGATCAATAAAAAAAAAGTGTAGATATTTGTCTTTTTATTTTAATTTGAATGCATTGCTTAAAAATATAAAATAAAAGCTTGAGTTATCAAAATGTTAAGAAAATATTGTTTGCTACACCACCATCGTTTTCTTATAGATATATAAACACTTGTTTACATATTTAAATACTTATTTATTCTCATATGTATTTTTAAAATGTTAATTGCTGAAATTAATTAAACTATATAATTATCAATTCATCACTAACCAATTAATCATCTACAACAGACCTGAGCTGTATTTCAATATATATTTTTAAATACAAGGACTATGTGTTTTACAATTTATAAAGTGTAAAAAAAAATTTAAACTGTATTTTCTATTGAAGATACATTAAATGTATTATAAATACCCAGCATAGTTTTCAAATTTATTAGGACCCTTTAAGTTATTTCTTACATAATATAATATAATTATAGACATATTTTATATTTAAAATACTTATCCTGTAAACAATTTAAATATACAATAATTAAAATATACTTTATTCAACATGATAGTATTTATTAATAAATACACATATTTTAAAATTTTTTATGAGAATTTTTTAGTTAACAGAAATAGAAATAAATGATTCCATCTGTAAAGTGAACACTAATTAATATTCAGATCCCATCCATATTTTCCTTCATATTAAATATTATAACAATATCTTCTATGCAGTTCTATCTGCTACCTCATTGGGCTTCTAATTACCAGAAGATTATTATTAGTTGAAGAGGATACTATGGGGTATATTTATAGTTTGTTGTTTAGTTTTCTTGGCTCCAAGGTGTTCCCATACCAAGGCATTCAGGATGGCATTATTTTTGTATCTTTTAAAAAGTTAGTAGCTAACTCCGGTGTCCTAAGTAAAAGTCCTTTTGTTATGGCAAACAACCAAGCAGAACTCTTTTCATATTTCTCTACATCAGTAGTTATAATTTTGTTTTTTGGAAGGAGGAAATTCCGTTTGTATATTAAATGAGTGAAATACATGAACTTTTATATTATGCAGTTTTAAATGGAGACCTCGAAGAAGTTAGACTCCTTTTTTCTGAAGGTGCTGATATTAGTGTAAAATTAGGATGGAAACAAGAATCCTTCCTTCACATTGCAACGCATGTACATATCATCGAAGAACTTCTACTGCAAGGAGCTGATGTGAATGCAGTTAATGTTTCGGGAGAGTCACCTTTACTTCGGGCTATAGTTGATGGTAAAGGGTCACAGGTTGTTAGCTTGCTCCTTTCTGCCAAAGCTGATGTAAAACGTAAATATTATGGTGCCACTTTGTTGCATTATGCTTCTGATGTTGAAGTTATTAGGATGTTACTGTCTCATGGTTTAGATATCAATTCAACAAATATTCAAGGGCGTACACCATTGCATTATGCAGCAGTATCTCGTGGTGCTTTGCCTAGGGTTAGGGAGTTGTTACAATATGGAGCTACTGTTAATGTAGTCGACAATGATGGAGAAACTCCATTGTATAGTGCAGTATCTACTTTAAGTTCCAAGATTGATGATGGGAAAGTCCATGGTATTAAAGATCATTATAGTTATCGAAATGCTATAGAAGTCATCCAAGAGCTGTTAGATTATGGGGCAAACATTAATATTATTAATAGGGAATCTGAATGTGATCCCTATTCTTCAACTTTAGGGCTAGCTATAAATTGTGAGCATTTGCCTTTGATTAAAATGCTTATTAAACTAACAGTAATTAATAGCCTTGATACTGATTATCACAGCATTGTTAATTTGGTTCCTTTTATAGAGGAAGATAATTACAATATGTTGTCAAATTATTTAGATGAATGTGTTTACGAAATAGTCAAAATGAAAACAGAAGACCTTTCTGGTAACTATTCGTTATATGATTTTGTAGGTTTTATAACAAAAAGGAATATAAAACCATTGTATGTTTATAATGTTGAGGAAGAACATATTAGAGATAACTATCCAAATTATTGTGATACAATTCTTTCCAGATTACAGTACTGTATAGAGAGAGCAAATCTGTTAGAAAAATTAAGAGATTTTCATATGTATACGGAATTTGTGACAAATGAACAAGCAATTATTGTCATCCCTGATTGTTTGCGTAAAATTGGTGAATATTTATCTAGTGATGACTTAAAACATTTTATTGCAGCATTGGATCAACAGTATTGATATATATACTGTAAAAAAATGTTGTTCTATTTTATTCAAGTAACTTTTTTTTTTCACTGTAAATTAAAGAGCTCAATAAGAATTTTTTCATTTTATTTTCCTTGAAATATCAAAGTATAATTTATTTATTGATAATTTATATTATTTGATTCTATAGAACAAATTTAAACAATTCATCATGTTAATGGCTCTCTTGACTAAATAATATGTTCGGAATTTTTCAAAATTGATCTCATTAATAAAACATAGTTTGTTATATTTATTTGAAAACAAAACCAAAACTTTTTAGCATATAGAAATTTGTTGAATATATTAAATGAAGTTGTTAGTAAATTGAAGAATTGTAGTAGCTAAGATTTTAATCAGACTAATTCTATAAGTGAGAATTAGGAACATATGATTTTTTATTCAAGAAACTTTTTTTTTGGTTTAATTTTCATTCTGAGTTAAATAACTTAACATGATATTTTTTTTTCAATCATCGCAATTTTTCCAATTTATTTTACTTCAAATGTCAAAGTTTAATTTATTGATAATTATTAAAGAA